CCTTGTGTCACCTGTGGGACAAAACTACAGCCGAGAGGCCACGCAGTTTACATGCTTGTGTCTTGAGCTGTCAGGGGCAAAAATCAGGTACCTACTGTACTTGATCCATAATAAGCAACTTTCACTTGTTAATTTTGTTTTGCAAATCATGGAATGATGACAATAACCTAAACTTTTGGATAAGCCAACAGAGGTCTACTTACCTCACATCTGGGGTAGAAGTGTTTCATCATACACACACACACAAACATTACTGTGACTATGATCAGGTTTTTAAAATGAAACAGGAACCTTAATTAATTTACTACTGCTGACTTCCGCTATTGTATTATTTTTAACAAAAACAATGTTTCAATGCCCAAATACTACAGTCTAAAAATATTACAAAATGTCAGGTTTTGCTTAATAAAAGATATTCAATATATTGAAACACATTTGACAAATATGACAGGTTTGCTGGATTCCTCTTATTTTCCCTGACAATCCTAATGATCTCAGTTGCATGAATAGTCAGCGCAAATCCTGCCATAAAAAACATTTCAAGAACAATAGTTTCCACCTTGATCTTCAAATACCATTTAACTATATGAGCCACATGTTTGGATCATTAACGTGTGGAAAAAAGTCACAGTAAAACTTATAATTGCACGTTTACCCAGTACCTTGCATTACTCACAAGCTCAAATAAATTCAGGCAATTTTGTTCTACATATTAGTTTATTTTTTTCCAGCTCATATAAATCACTATTATACAAGTGCATCTATATATAGATATCTTATTTTAAAACATTTTTATTACGTGATACAAATGTGCATACAGTAGTGATAAGAAAATACTGATCTTTTCAGTACAAATCTATGCCTTAGAATCATGTGACAATTAAAATCATTACTCTTTAAAAAAAGGAACATTAACAAAAATGTAAAAAGCCCATTTTGTCTATACAAGCCTATATTCCAATATATATACGTCTCTTCCATGAAAAATAATATTCACAGTATGGAAATAAACAGCATTTGTTGATTTTTTTTTGTTTTCAATGTACAACTCAAAACTGTTACATTTTCTTTAATGGGTACATTAATTTTGAGAAAAAATAGCTCTTTAAGATGTCCTCTAAAATTAAAGAAGGTGGAATAAAAAATAAAATGAGATGAAAAGATGTATCTCACATCCAAGAACAGCCACCAAATGAGAGGAAATAAAAAAATGTTAAGGAACAATATAATGATAAGAATACTTATTTTGCAATTCAAAAGAATGTAAAAACATTAAAATTTCAACTACTGTTCCAGTGCTGTAAGAGATCTGATATGCTAGACAGATCTAGCAGTTCAGTAGCAGCTGAAATGCGTCCAGGGGAAAAGATGCATTCAGATTTGAAAATGTCTGTCAAGATCCTTAGAGGAACTCCAGGCTGTCCAGTCTACTCCCGGACAATGACAAAACTTTTAGGCAAAGCCACAAACACGATTATTGAAAGCCAAAATGTGTTTTGGATCACTTTAATATTCTGTGCTGCTTTTGCAGTTTCATCTGTCTGCCAGTTAGGGAGTCACTACTCAGGAAATCTGCAGTACACTTATCATCTCTTCAGATGTGATCTCAGTAGCAACATGTTTCACAGCAGCGCTCTAAATGCGTGGATTTGTCTACTTGTAAGTCTTGCAAAACAGTGAATGTGACCAATGCAGATTTAACAAAAAGCAGTGTAAAACACAAGCTGAAATGGACTTGTCAAGCACAATTATTTGAACGTCAGGCGAGTACAAAGAAGTGCACAACTTTCAAGAGAGTCGAATGTTTCTTCAACGCAACAAAAGCTGAACCTGACCAATGATAGCTATTCACCCCACGTTCATCTGCTGTGTTCAGGTGATGCCGTCCTCTTCGACGAAGGTAAAACTGTGTTTACGGCAGAAGTGGTTGTTAGGGCTCTGAACTCTAAGCGGAAAAGGATGTTTAAGTGAGTTTAACCAGACGCAGCTATTCTACCCTGAGGCAAGGTATTTGCCTAAATTGCACCAGTCCACCCAGCCGTACAAATTGGTACTAGCATTGCTGGGAGTACATGTATACAGTACTTGTAATGGCTTAGTGCCCCTAGTTGAGTCGTCTCTATCTGGTTAAAGCTCCATCAGCTAGGATCTATTTTGTGTAGTATTTAACCATTAAATTCTGCACAGATAGGTACAAAATAATACCAATGTCCACCTCAAAGACAAGCTTCTATTTCAATAGCGCAGGTTGTGGTTCTCCTGTAAAGATCTTACAGTTTAGCCAGAATCGCAGGGCTTTCACACTTCTCCAACAAGTCAGATTTAATAGTAATTGTGGTAACTTGTTTTGCTCAGGGTCTTGAAAACTTTTCTGTTTCCAATAAGAATCACACTGCTGATTTCATGGGAATGCACTTAAGATCCTCATCACGCAGTATCGCGGCCTCGGCAGCAGTCTGTAGAGCTCTTATTAAGACTCCTATCTTCAACCCGCTTCTCCAGCGAAAATTCCTTACAACGTTCTTAGTTCCAGTTCTCATTCTGAAGGCTTTGAAGAATGTGTTTTTCTAATCACAAAGACAGTGACACAATAAACAGACTTCTCTGTATCTGTCCAGCAACTGTCCCTAAAGTAATTAAGGGAGTATACCAGGAAACAACTACCACAGAAGGAGAAGCTTTACAGATAGCCCTGGCTTAATCCCTTTCATAACACCCTAAAACAAAATATTAAACGCAATTTAGAGTAGCCAGTTAAACGATTAAATTAAGCGCATCATGAACAGAAACTTCACACAGAGACACCCAAACTGAACTCAAGACTCTTAAGTGAACTTAAAAACACTAAATAAACTTCAAGACCCTGTACAAAATGCTGAGTGTCTAAAATTCATAGCCTTTTTGGAATTTGAATATGTACACTATTCATTATCATCACCAAGAAGAGAAGGGTTTATTTACTGGCGAGGTAAAGATAAAAGGAATACAAGAAGCTTTGTATCCTCCACATTTAGTCTCCCCCGGTGATATGGAAAATATCTCAATGTACTCTGTCTGACATTCAAACACTGATGCACCAGAAAACTTTAAAAACGGGAAATCTAAATATTTTTCATTACATACCTAGCAATTTGTAATTGACAATTGTTTCTGAACATTGCTCACAAGATGTGACTTCTGAAGTATGTTTAGATGAAGACTAACTCAGCTTCCAGGCTGCACTTGAAATGACCACCTTAACCAGCTGAGCCACTGGGAAGCCCTCGAGCTTTTCATCTGCTGACATGCTGCCAGATCCACGGTGCCCGACAGGAGAGCCAACACTGACTGGAGGAGCTCCAGTCACTGATGTCAGTGCAAGCCTCCAGGCGCTCGGCAAGCCACAGCAGACACACAAGCCAAGGTGATCTTTGCTGACTGATTCATATTTGTCCTACACTGGTTCAGCCAGTTGAGCTGCTTGTACCAGTACCAGTCACACCTGGCTCGTGACAGCCTGTACCAGTGACATCTGAGCCATAAGGATCAACCTGTGCTGTGAGCACATGCTGAGCAGCTAAGTGATCTGAAGGTGAGGTCATCATCCAGCTGGTTCTTGAAAGAAGCGATGGTACGGGCTTTCACAACATGACCAGGTACTCTGTTCTAGACTGCCACAGTCCTTTGTGTAAAGAAGTGCCTTCTGTTTTCAGTGTTAAATTAAAAAGAAAGAGCAGACCTTTGTGTCTCCAAATGTTACTCATGGTGTTTTGGGGCAAAAGAAGCATTGGTAGAGATTGTTTGATATTGTTAATAAATGCTAAAAGAGGCAATGACAGGATCCCATATTGGACAGCTAACAGCCCACCTATACAAAAACCTTCACCTTTCCTAAAACATGGCCGATTTGGAAAATTTAAATTGGACCAATGGATACAAATATTTCTGTTCAACAATAATTCATTTGTCCACATTCAAATTCATGTTTGACTAAAGTATAATTAAACTAATATACACATTTAGCATTTAGTAAAAATATATGAAGATAGTAGCATTTAGTACAAATATATGAAGGTAAGCAGAAGAATATATATGGAACAGTGAATCCTCATTGAAGGATGTAGGTGGGTTCCATGATGTTGCCTTAACATCAGAGAATGATAGCAGCTAGAAGCACTGGTATGAATTCCATGTCTTTCAAGGGGTGCAGCAAGAACATATTAGGCTATTAATACATAATGAAGCAAGGATTCTAGATTGCTGCATTGAATACTTCACCTTGTCTGTTTGGTTTAAAATGAGCTTTGTGGTTGACTGTGTTGACCCATGTGAATGAACTACCACAAAATAGTCATATGGAAGACATAATGGCCATAATAATAACTATTATCGCCAAAAGTGAGAAAATTATCTATTCCGAGCAGCGTCCAGCAGATAAGGTCATAGCTGACGGGCTATGTAACAGAGACTCACGAAACTCTTCACTGATTGTCTTCTGATGATGTGAGCAAACCCAACTCGGTTGCATTTACACAGTATGTTCTTGCTCAGAACGTATTGCTTGCTCGGAATTGTACACTTGTGAATTGCTTCATGTGATTTTAAGATGCCTCAATTGTCCTAATTTTTTTATAACAGCCAGCCTCATTATAAGAAGCTTTGATACCAAAGGATCTGTTAATTAAGATGTTTCTTCATGAGCCATTTAATACCAGACCGCTTAAATGTATATACAGTAGGTTGCTTTCAAAGTCCTTCACAATATCATTTTCAAAGTGGCATCCATCATCCTTCAATGCTGTAAAAACAAGTGAATCAGAAATGTTTTCTATTAGTGGAAGAAAAAAGTTCCCAAGAGCCCCCAACAGACTGTTGTCATCACACACACTAACGGTATGACCGTTCCCTTCACAGTTCCATTGAAAAGAGAAGAGGCTGAGAGTGGAGGGCAACAACCTCCTCTGAAGTTCCAATAACCAACTAAGAAAAAAAGAAAAGGTTTATACACTGAATGCTTAATGTGATTTTCATTAAGATGATGTATTTTATTAAATGCTGGAAATATAGGGTTCTGTGACAAAGCCTTACATGTCTCTTCCTACGAAAAGGTGAGACACTCACAGCATTATACAAATTTGAAACCATTTTCCCCTCTTCATAATTCTAAAGTAAAAAAACAATCTTGTAAAAAAGGACAGTAATTAGAAGGTTTCCAGTGATGTAATAAATATAATTTGACAAAACAATATTAAGAGATGGTGTTATATACAAAAAAAAAATCAATGATTAAAATCATTTCCATACTCTTTCTCTTACTGGCAGATAATTTACTTTAAGTCAAAGCTTCTAGTCTATGGAACAGGCTTTTACTCTCTAGAACGACAGGCGCAAGTCAATGCAGAGCTTTCTAGTTCGCCTCATAAAAGAAGGACAAGGTAGACTAGGACATTTAACTTAAAGGAAACCATGTTATCTGCCAATAAGGCAATGCTTTATACTAATTTCGCGCTGCCCCAAGGTGTCATTGCAGTTCACTTTAATCCTTTCATATGGAAAATAAAAACATTCAAATTTATGAAAAAAAAAACAGAACGGCTGTACATCATACTGCCATCAGCACCTGCACAGGACGCCCAGCAGAAAACAGGCTGCTGGCCTCCGCCTGCCAGCAAGCCACGTCTGTGCAGTGCCTGCTGGGACGGGTACAGGAGGCTGCACAGCGCAACACACCGAGGCTCATATAGTTCCTGTAATGCCTTCTGATTGCTGCTGTGTCTTGAAATGAAGTCTGTACAGTTTGAGCCACAGAAGGAAGGGGAGGGCAAGACTGTGTGGTATTTCAGAATTATGCTGCATATTTTAGGACCAGCTCTCGCCCACCATCTAATTGTATTATTAAATTCACAAAATACAAAGCTAAATGAAGGCTTCTAATTTTCTTTTAGGGTGACATTCCATCTGAAAGTACCACAGAGTCTTGTAATATCCTGAAGTCTGACATTTAAAACAACTGCAAACTGAAGTCCGGTCTTAAAACTGTGTAGAAAGCAAATATCACCATTTAACAACAAGCAGGGTATTGCCACAGGTCTGAGATGGACTTTTAATGGGATAAAGTGTGCAGACGTCCATCTCATTGCTTGATCAATAACAGAAAAGGGAAAAATATGTAGATTCTGCATGGAAAGTTGCCACTGAAATAACAGCCTATATAACAAGGCAAGTACAGAGAGCTCTGAGCATTATAAAGAGTAGACATCTTAGGGTCATATTATAGTTTGCCTTATCATTCATTAATGAATGGTTTCTTTTATGTGTGCAGTATATGGCAGGGAATATATAAACTTATTTGAATGCATATGCTAAATGGAAAAAATGTCCAGTTTAATCTCAGATGATGGATGCAAGAATTTAGAGGCAGATTTGTAAAAACAGCCCTTATCATTAAGAAAAAAATAAATATATAAAAATTAAAATATGCTTTAACATCAGCTAGGACATTACAGTTCACATTTGCATCTGTCCTCACCAAGATGACAGACCTAAAAATAAGATACAATGAAGAAGACACTATAAAGGATTTTTTTTTGCATTGTCAGTAATGAAGGTATCTCCTAGCTGTTACATTAAAAACAAACCTATATTTGTAAGAAACAAAGTGATGGTATCAGTGCTTATGCATGCTAATCAGATAAAGCATAAAGTATGGAACTGAAATTTAAGAAAGTATTCAAATCTGGGGGCAGACTAAAAATTGAAAAAAGTAGATATTCTGTATTAATATTTTTTTTGTTTCCTAACACAGTATGTTTTTAGATGTAAGCTGCTTTTGCTAAATATTTTTAGGTTTACTCTTTGAAGGTTTTTTGAAAACTACAATCAAGGCTGTCAATTCTGACATGCAAGAAAGCTGCATTGTCAGGGAGCGTGAACTGTGCAGTGCTTCAGGAAAGAGGCTCACTGAGACAAGCCAGCACTGATGCTGTCTGTTCTATTCTTAAGAGACATGCGTGACAGTAGTGTTCATGGCAAAGCTATACAGTTTTGAGGTACTCTAAAATACCTCAAAACTGTGACCTACAAAACAATTTAGCAGAATTAGGCTAACTATCAAAACTGACTATTATTTAAAGATTTTCTTCAAGGCGGAGATTGGATTTTTAAATATAAATCGCATGGCTTCGTTTGCTCGCTCACTGGTATGAAATGAATTTTGCTCTGTTCTGAGTGATCCTGTGCTTGATGCTGTGTTGTTTTACCTTTTACTTTTACTTCAAACAATTTCAGCAAAAACGTCCCCATCAAAACACAGATTTACACAAGCAAACCAAGTTCTCAATCACAGCCTTTCAAATTAGATCCTAGTCCCCAGTAATGCTACAGTTTGATGCTCTGCAGAACCTTATTATGTGCCTCCCATTATCCCTGAGCTTGACAAGCTTCAAACAAACATTTCACACACACTGCTGTAGCAGGGACCTGAGGACACCTGCGAAGTCACACTGCCGATTAGCACTCAAAGCAGGGGTGTGCATGACCATGATCAAGCAAATCATACCGTATATATGACTGTAGCACTTCTGACAAAGGGATGGAAGGCAAAAAAATGTGTACAGAAAGGCACAGGTGTGTACAGGGACCCAGACGCCAGACTCACTTAGCAAGATAGACTCCACATAGCCTTCAGATCTTCAGCCAGTCTTACACCGACACTGTGCACGGGGTGTTGAAAAGAAATCTGAATCTCTACCTTCGGGAGACAGTTTTCAGGTAGTGAAGCTGTCAAGGAAGCAGTGGAAAAGTGGTTTCTAATTTCAGGGAATCAGCACTTTCAAAGAAAGTGGAAGAAATAAACTGCAGTTAAGAAATGGGATAAGGATTAAAATCACTGAACTGATATTCCAATGCTGGTCTGTGCTCTACTGCAGATCCAGATCTTTTTGAATGCAGCTCAGATTTCTGTACTCTACTTCCTTGCTGCAAATGCAGTGTTTTTGTTATTAAACCACTGGTTGAACAAAGATTTACTATGGCATAGAAGTCTATGCAAACAGAGAATCACCCAGAACAACCAGTGGAATAAGGAACAGGATACTGGACCTGACCTAACATACAGAAACTTAATGTAAAAAAAAACATCTAAAATCTGCCTAGTCAATAATGAATGTGTCTTCTTACTATTAAATTAAAAATAAACCTATATATGTCAGAATCAAAGAGATGGTATCAGTTTTTATGCATGCTAATCAGATATTAACCATGCAGAGGCTCAATAATTTTAAACTTTAAGAAAATTGTGCATGCAAATCAAGCCTTATCAGGTTGTTTTTAGCTAATTTACAGTCTCTTCACTCAACTTAAATGGAATGTTAGGGGAAAAAAAACAAAGAACTGTTTGAAAAAACTTAACACTCAATGAATCTTCACTAAACTTTAAAAAGCTACTGTTAAAGAGTACATTTTCAGACCTGTGCTAAATTTGCAAAAATTAAGAAACATTTCATTACCAGGCTAAAATAGTTTTAGCAGAACTCTTGATCTTGTGTTCATAAAGGAAACTGCTGGAAAATATTTGATAAACACACGCTAAATCACAAGATTGTAAATGGATATAATTAAATATTAAAAATCACTGATTTAAAACAATGATCTAGGTAATGTGAACTGAATACTTCTACATATATAAATTGTTTTGGTTTGTTAGGTATTGGAACTGCTTTTTGATATTCCGAAATGCTGTAGACGTGCTATCCTTAGCCGCGATGATGTTGTCAATTAAAAAAAAAATTGTATTAGCTAACTAAGCACTATTTCTTTTTTGTATCCAGTTAAAAGGGACTGACCTGCATCCAGCAACCCAGAATACACTCTCCCACCCCACTAGGAACCCCCCTTGCGCCCCGTGAAGCACCTTGTTTCTGTCCGGGCAGGGGGGACCACCTCCTGTATGGCACCACAGGGCTGTTTTAAAGCTCTATAGCGTGATGACAGTGCCCTCTTCCTCCATGCTCCGGCGTTTCGGCCCCTGACTCCTGCGCTCGGCTCCGGATTCGGCTCCAGTCAGCGAGCCAGCGCTGCTGCTCGTAGCCAGGAAGCCATTCTGCTTCAGGCCGAGGTGGAGCTCGTACCTGGGCAAGGAGGGCATGCTGGTACTGGCCGACGCAGCCCTGGAAATCGGCCGGGCTTCCTCCCCAACCTCAATGACCAGGTCTTCGTCCTCCTCGTCGCTCTCCATCTCCTCGGGCCGGAAGTTCTGGATGATGTGCGCCGCCGGGGCCACGGAGTAGCCGTAGTGGCTCGTGCCGCTGTCCGAGGACCGGCCGGAGCTCCCTGAAGTCCGGCTGTTGCGCACCACGTTGTTCCTCTGGTTGGCGGGCTTGACGGTGATGATGAGGTTGTGGCTGTTGGCGATCATCATGTCCGTCACCTGGTCCAGGCTCTTCCCGGACACCTCGATGCCATTGACTTCCAGCACCTCGTCGTTGACCGCCAGCAGGCCGGTGCTCTCGGCCAGCCCCCCAGGCACCAGCCGGGAGATGAAAATCCCGGGAACTTTCTCCAGGCCTTGGGGAGTGACCCGAACGCTGGAGCCGTCGCGGATGTAGAAGCCCAGCGGTTTCTCCGAGCCGTGTTTATAGAGCCGCACCCTGCGGTGGGTCTCGGGAAGGATGTCCACGTCAATGATGGAAGACACCGGCCGGAAGTCCCTGGGAAGGCTGATGATGATCGGAGGCTTCTTGCGGTGGTTGTCTGGCCGCAGGACCGTGGAAAGTACATTCTTCTTGCGTGTCAGCGAGTCGGTGCCAAACGCAGAATAATCTGCCTCCTCTGCAGAGACAAGCGGACAGTGGGTCAGTACAGCAAAACTGGACAAATAAAGCCCAGGAAGGTGAATGAGGTTTGCTACATTAGATTGTTTAACCAACTGTTTATTTCTAAGATGGGCTGAATGTATCAACACAATATAATTCATAAGTCACCATTTTTATACCTGGTGATTGGTCATAGTGTTGCTGCTAGGGGATCAAGACTCATGCAATTTGAATATATGCAGAAAAGGAAAGACAAACTGTGTATCACTGTAATCAGTGCTTGTGTAAGTGACTGGACACAACATCAGATTTTGTCACAAACAGGCAAGGTAACTACTATGATTACTTAGAACACTACAAAAAAATGATTATCTGAAAGTTAGTCACATTTATTATATAAACTCTGTTGCCTGGCCAGACTAAATGTAATTTGTTACAGATAGAGTGAATGAATACTCCTGAGAGTTTTTATTCATCTGTGGAAGATGCAAAGCTTAAACTTTGAGACCAGTCTATACATTTGTGGAACAGTTACAACTTCCTGGTTAGAAGATCCGTGAACCCAGCATCTCACATTTGAACATCAATTAACAGTGACTTCCTGGCCATTAATTCAGTTGTCTGGAGGATTTTCAATTGGGTAGAAAGTTGTTCCATTCAGGATTCTCCAAATGCTGTTCTCTTTTTAACCAAAGTGTGCTAGTTCGAATTCCACCTGAACTCTCAGTTATTTCATTAACCGAAACACTATTTTCTTTAAATCAGAATTTTTTGGTTGTTCTCAGCTCTTGAAGTTAATTTCAAGGTACTCAAACATTTTGAGAGCTGCAATTTGTGATAATATTTTCTAAAATATTCACCTTATTCCTTTAATACACTGTACAATGTTTTTAGAAAGCTTTCTTATACTGTGCTCAGATTTATTACCAAATTTCAGAATTCCACAGCAGCTTAATCATCACAGTGTAACTGGATTATCGAGTAACTGCAAAGTTCAGGTTCAAAGGTTAGGGTTGGATCGTTACCAAACCTTTGCCTTGACAATGATTAACTGGGTACTTCACAATGTCTTCCATCAACTACAACCACTGAGATCTGCAATCAGGATTTGTGAAATTAGGATGTTAAAATGGGTCTTGAACCTGAGAAAGGTTACAAATGAGAGAAAGCTTTTTGGCCCATCTTATTTTATACGTCGTTGCCAATTGATTCTAAAACATCCTCATCTAGAAGGACTTCAGAGTGTCAGTTTCAACAGCTTGGCGGGCATTATTTTAAATCAATACCCCCACTAGAAAGAAATCCCTAGGTTTGCATACCTAAAAGCATGCGCTCATTATTTCCAGTTATGATCCTAAGTCCGCCTTTTCTTACTGAGCTTGACGTAGTCCTTGGAATAACTACATCAATTGTTCTAAGGATTTTAAAAACTTGAGTCAAATCTCCTTATAATCTCCTCTGCTCAACACTAAGGAGAGTAATTACATTTAGCCTTTTTGACATTCCTTTGAGAGCAAGAAATTATCTGACTGATATTCCTTGAACACCTTTCTGAGTAACAATATCCTTTTTTATAAAGTGGTGACAAAGCTAAATTAAAAATGTCATTTTTGCCTAAAACAGACAATTTTCACTAGCATTCTGTTGGACATTATTTTTGCTGTTCCCTATTGTTACAGGAAACTGAGTCAATAAGCTTCTAAATTGCCATTGGATCTTTGTGCAAGTTTAGTATTTGATCTATACTGTACATTTCTACACACCCTTATGTAGTACTTTGTACTTATTTGCACAGAAAACCATTTCCCAGGTGTCTTTTGTATTTCCTTTGGTGTTGCTACCACATCAGCCACCAACTGCATTTCTTTCATCAGCAAAATGACCTGGTTTACTATGTACATAATACAGATTAAGGATTTAAATTAGGAGCCTAAAACAGATCCCTTTAGTACACCGCTAATTACCTCAGCCAACTTTGAGGTTTTACCTGTTATGATGATCTTTTTACTGAATGATCTCTTAATTTTGGGCATCCTGTAAAGTCATCTTGTCTTCTCCTCTCTGACCCCCAAATTATAGGATGACACTCCAATACACCCTTCCCACTCAAGTTCCCAGCACAGAGGAATATGCCGGCCAGCAATTGCACAACACAGGTCTGTTCCTCCCTCAGTCAAGCCCAGCTTTTAAATCCCCCATCACCACATGAACAGCAGGCAATAATAAAAGGCAGCTAATACCGAGGCCGTTCTTATTAAGAGAAAACAAAAAATTAAGAACTTCTCCCCCCTTACAACCCTACAATATATGGTGTTCGCTTCCTTCAAGAACTGGCTCGGCGGGGTCCTTCGACCACTTAGCAAATAAAAACATCAAGGGTCAGACGGCCTCCTCTTGTTTGTCACTGGTTCTTGTGTTCTGCCTGTTTCTCACTAGCGGACAACACTTCCATGTTACTTTGCACAGCCTGCCATCAGATCTTGTCTGAAAGGTTAGTGAATCCTTGTAAAAACAGAAGAGATGAAGCAGCACAGTTGTGCCATCCAACATACTGTACTGTGCCGGGCAGACTCTTCTGATACAGTCTGGAACAGCCATCACAGGCTTCACAGGAGCCCAGCTTAGAGCCTCTCTATCGCTCTTCAGCACTGGTTAATTCTGAACCCCTCGATGACAGGAACAGCAAACTTCCCTACGCACCACCCAAACTTCCCCTTCCGTTTTTTGAGTATTTTCAACAAACAATTCGACAGACTACTACTTGTAGAATGTACAATATTTGTTTCCCTGGCTACGATCGACCCTTAATGTACCATCAGGCTTTATCACTGCTGATTTACAGAACCTAATTCATGCCTAGGCTGCTACAGGTCTTTTTCCCATGATTGTCAGAGTGATGACAACAGCACCTGGAAAACAGCAGTAGCCTGTGGCCCCATTATTTCTCAACTGAAGGCTTGCAATGACAAGGCTAAAACAAGGCACCTATTGTAAGCAGCCTAGTTACCTATGTTTCCCAGGAGATAAAAGGAAAAACAACTGCCTGATCCTGGCACCCCCTGAGGTTTGATGTTCGACTAGTGCAGATCAATCATACAAACATATTGACAGATGGCTGCTAATCCACATGATTAAAGACTACAATGCAAACAAAGGGTTTTAGTAAGAATCAAAATGGAGGAACATGGAATTGCTTAAATGACCTGCTACCAAAATTGAAGAACCAATTTCTCAATATTAATTTTCATGTACTATATTGCAATTATCTATGACATTATAGGTTATAATTATAAACTTTGAGCTCCCCACTCAAACATCATGGAGAAAACGCGCTCATCTTATATCTCACTGTTAAACCTTTAAACGGTTTCATCAAGGGAGACCCGCAGGCACCTTCACAATGGACACACATTCAAATAAAAGTGCAACATGTTTTGGTGGCAGAACTTCAGGCATGTGAAAAATCAGTGGAATATTTCAAAAAAAAAAATAAGAGATGAAGAAAAAAAGGAAGTTTCGTCATTTGAATCCATAACCGAACATCTTGTATCAATCATCCATCGAGGATGTCATGAAAACCTAACTATTGGACAATATCTGACAACTAGATCCCGGGAAGAACGAATATGACAGATAAAACAAAAATCAATGGCTTTTGCTGCTGTAGTCTTCACGTTTTGTTAGCAAGGCACTTGTTTGTACTTGCCAGTAAATGACATAGCCACTAAAAATCAGTAAGTCTCCACTGTCCTGTATAGAGAAAGGAGTGCTGGGTTACACATGTATGATCCATGAAATAGCAAACATCAACCACAGATCACTGAATTACAAATACCTAGATACTTACATTTTCTGTTTTTTAAGAAATCAGTTGTCAAATAGGCTTCTACTTTTAAATGATAAAATGTGCTTACCTTTGTATTAAAAAGGTCTTTATTATTTTCAATTAAATGTGGAACGTCAGGAGGAAATTACAGGTGACAAAGCTTTTGACAAAAACATCTCGAAAAAGATTTTAAATTAATTTAGATTTTCAGATAAACTAAAGAATTGACCCTTTTATGAATCCATACTATTGCAACTTGAAGTTCAATAGCTAGGCTACTTCAGTCATCCAAGGTAAGAGCATTCTCCTTAGTTTCTCCTTGTTTCCAGTTCAATCAATCATTCATTCACTTTTAATACAAATGAACAGCAAAAATGTTTCACATAAGGCTGGGATTACTTTGATGTAAGAGAACTGTTGCAGCTGTTTGCACTAGTAACTAGTAGGGAGACCAGTGTAACGTGGTTGCTTAGTGTGGGTGATCGCAAGTTTTTACATAAAACTTTGATCTGAATACTTCTAAGACTAATAGTGGTTACAGCCAGTCTGAAAGCAGCATATACAGTACAACTCCAGCAGTCATCTGCATTTCAATGTTGTGACCAGAGATAAAAGAAGCGGTTCTTCATTCTGACTTCTCCTGTGTCACCTTCTTAGATTGGCAGCACATTGTGAAGGTTAAACACAGGTATAATAATCTACTTACATCTACTTGTCGTCAAGCTGTCTACATAACTGTGACAATTCTATTTAACCAATCCCTGAGTCTCAGGTGACACGTCTAGATGAGACCCAAGTCAATAATTCTCCTTGTACAAGCATGACAATTACACGTTGATTGGAATCCACAACAATTTTAAATCTCTATGTCACAACCGCAGATCATGCACAGATAAAGCAGAGGCTGCATAGGGGAACTGTGCCAACATGCAAATTGCAAAGCTATGAAGTTGAAAATCAGACAGAAAGAAGAAAGTTTTGGTTGTTTGGAGCCGGCCTTGAAACGGGAATCTTATTGAAATAAATTAATATCCAGCCAAATCTAAATATGGAAGAAGTGTAAATTAGGAAGAAATGTTTCAAAAGGAATACGACAACACAGAACATGCACAATGCAGTGTAATACAGATCTTATGAGCATTACACCACAGCAGTACCAGAATGTCGTACAGACAGCATAGAACATTCAC